AACAATAGCGTACCACAACAAAGTAACAAGTATTCTTTTTAATCTTCAAGAATAGGTATCAAAATTAATAAGCTGAGATTTGAATTTGTATCCTGGTGTAATCTACATGTCAGGTAGAATCACCTAGTCAGTTACCTTACAGTTTGGGAAACCTGTAAGCCAGAACTTCCCCTGTAGCCCAACTTCCCCTAAAACTATCATTTTCCACTTATAAAGAAGGCACTCTTGTGATGCTTTTTGGTTGGGAAATTGCCATTGCTGGGGCTTATTTCTGCCACTAGGTATTCATTTTTGTTTCCTCTGATTATTTAAGAGGGTGTGAAAGGACACTTTAAAGCTAAAGGCATTTCTGTGCGCTCTCTATTGGGGTCGGACACACTGTCTCTTAAAGGTGGCACGTCAGAAATGTAGAACCCACCAGACTGATCACTGTTCTTTTATCCCTCATCCTACTAGTGTCCTCCAGCTGCATTTCAGGGGTTCTGAGGCTTTTGGAGGAGCCTTCCTCCCTTCTCGGGGACTCACCTCCTCTATCTTTTCCTGTTCACCAGTCAACTATAAGCTGGTAACAAAGCAGCTGGGCAGGAGAGAAAGGTCCAATAGAGGTGAGCCCCTCCCATAAGGTCCCACTCTGTCACCTCCAAACTCTGTCCAGATTCCTCAGGGCAAAACTGACGCTGGCATCTACTGTGCTAGGCACCAGATGGCTGGGGTATTTTTAGTCTTAGGGGAGGGACTAAAGAAGCAAGGCCTGATGGCTCGGGCGTGTCTCCAGCTTTTAAGTTACATAAGGAAGATGGAGCCACTAAAGGGAACTGTTGAGCTGTTGCCTGCTTCGCAGCCCTTTCAGCATAGAAGCTGATATGTATTTCACTCCTGAAGAGTTCAGCTGGGTTAAAATCTGGTTTGTCTTGTTCTTATATAACAAATAAGCTATAGGAAGATTGAACATTAATGGATGATCTCTAAAAGAAAGTGCTAAAGATTTCTTTTCAAGAATAGCATAAATATGAACTTTACAAAACGTAGCTGAGGTCTTTGCTTCCCTCACCCCACCACCATCTATGAAATGATTGCATTATTTAACTTAACTTTACTTGTCTATATCTGATCATGATAATGATATTTTTCTTTCTGTCACTCCACCCCCACCTCCACCATAATGTAGGTATGATTATTTGGAGAAATGGGCAAATTTCCATAGAATAGTGGGTAGACAATACTACAGATTTTTTTCACCTTGAAATACTAAGCTGTGAAACAAAAACAGCATAGAGTCTTAGTTTGAACTGATTGTGAATTCTAGTTCTCTGCTTCCTGTGCACATGTGCACACGGTCTTTATGCTTTATGTGGGCTATTATTATTCAGTGTAAAAATGACATTTTGACTGTTATAAAACTAATGTAGCATTTATGTTCTTCTTAACATGTGGCACATCTGATACCTATTTTACTGGTGCCAGCAACTATCATTGCATCATAAAAATATTATTCCTCTTTTGCCACATACTTATTTTGCTTCCATTTACTCCCTTTTATTGTATATTTATAAGATAATGGAGGAAAAGAGGGAAACATGGCTGTTGGCAATCTCAGTGACTCCATGGTACTTAACACTGTTCAATAAACCTAATAATCTTCGTGGACTAATTCTGACTTATGGATGTCCTGCTTCAGTACATCAGGGTGATTTTCTCTAGTGAGTAATGGACAAGTGCAGTGTGCCAGTACCTTAATTAAAGAGTGGTTCTCTTAGTCTTGATCTCACTTTAATTTACAGGGTAATACTACAATAATATTACTAATGGAAGGTACATTAAAGGGTATCAAGTAGCATTAACTGTATTAAATAATGGTACTTGTGTTAATTAACTGCTGAAGCAAGATGGTTCTAACGGCCAGAAAGGTCGTCTAATGCATAAATAAAATCTACCCAGATGAGGGGTGAGAGGAAAAATGAAGAGCAGATGTTTGTTCTGAACATCTTTTTATACAGCCAGAGAGTTAAATGCACAGGCTGTTAAATACAATGTCCAAAATGTTTTCTTAGTTGCACAATTGGAAGTTTTGATTTTTGAGTGTTTTGTTTCTGTCTCAGCTTTCTAGATTTAAATCACTTGAAAAGTGAACACTGTATTTGTCAGGTGCATAGATTTTACAGAATATAAGCTCAACATTATTTATTGTTTCTTTGAGGTGAACAGTTTCAAGGGAAGTCGTGTGATTTATTTTAATAACTGTTAAACCTGAAAGACCAGTGAACATTTTGATAATATGCTCACATATTAGTAAGACATGCTGTCAGCGAAGTATCAAGATACTGGTTTCAGATATAAGATAGTAGAAATTATTTTTCAACCTCAAGAACTTTGGGACAGAATTGTAAGAACTTTTCTCAGTGGCCTGGGAAACTCAAATGCTCATCTCCATTACTTGTCCTGTTTCACGATATTCCTAAACATAATTATCAATGATTTTTCTCAGTGGTGTCTGCTCAATCTCTTACCCCCTGCAGCGCCTGCCCAAACTCCTCACAGGCAGTAGCTGTCAGTTACTATTTACCCTCGATGCCTCCTTTTCCTTTGAGAAAGGGGCCAGAGGGCACTAGCACAGAGCGTCCTCTTGTACACACATTGAGGTGGTTTCTTCTCTGTTGCCCCAGCTCAGAACCACAGGCCCCCACCCTAACCCCAGGACCTGGAGCGGTCCAGGGACAGAACCATTCTCACAGGGGGACAGGAGCTGAAGAGGTCCCCTGCACGCTAACCCTCAGAAGGAATCAGATTTGTAAACCCTCTCCGTTTCAATATTTGGTATTTGTTCGAATGGGGACAAAATGAGGCTGAAATTCACTTTCTTGAAGCAAGGCTTTCAAATGGTTAGTGCGCAAACATGTGATAGTGGGTAAGCCTGGACGCTTGGGGAAGTTTAAAAGTGTAAAAGCAGTTGGGCATTCAAGTTTTCTCAAATACTTTGGGAAAATGTAATATGGAAGTGGTCTGCCAATTACAAAAGGCTTACAATTATCCTGTCAGTTCTCTCAGTCTTTCTCCTAGCTGCAATTTGAACGAATCCGCCAAAATATTTACCCTTCCCCTCTCCTGTGAGAGACGTCCTGCAGGGTGCTTTTGAGGCATTCGGCCT